AGCTTGATCCGCCCGATCGTCTTCGACTTCCTGATCAATGTGCATCTCAACATCGTTTTGGGCAGCCCACTCTGCGGCGCCTGGACCTTTCTTTGAATTTTTCCTCGCATTAGACTCGTGTGCGGAAGTCTCATCCTTCGTGGATGACACCAGGCGAGCAGGTTTGCTGGTGGATACCTCTTCCTCTTCACTCTCTTGCGACTCGACTGCCAGACGCCGGCGTTTGGTGTTCTGCCTACCATTGGTGGGACTACAGGTGTCTCTCGAGTCTTCTCTGCTCCGCACATGACAAGTGTCGCTCGCCCCGCGATCTCCACCTGATGTATGCGGACGAGAAGGTGACCTACCACTCTCGCTTCGTGGAGGTGGGACAATCTCCACGGTCGGCCGCTGGTCCTTGTCTATTCTGGTGGCTGATTCAGCATCCACAGCAGCCCTCTTCGGGCTCGAGCTGAACTCGAGCTCCTCCTCTTCGCTGTCGCTGTCCTCCAACGTTATGACTCTCTTCGCTGGTCTTTGAGATCGACTTTTCGGCGCGCCCAATTCAGCATCCACACTCTTCTTCCTTTGCTCGTGCGAGCGCTGTCGTGTGTCACCGTCTTTGATATCGCTGCTGGTCAAATTCGACTTGCCTTTGACCTTTTTGATGGGATTGCCATGCTTGTCGCTTTGAGGTGCGTAGTCCACCGCCTTGCTCGATACAGCGCGTCTAGGCCTGCTCAAGGCAGCAGCTTCGTTCTGGAGTCGCAGCGCAAGCTCTCGATCAGCTGCCTCCTTCTCCGTTCGGCTGGACGATGAGCGTGCACTGTAGCTCTTGTGAGAAGCTTGAGAAGGTTCGCGTGGTTCTGCGCTGCGTGTCGCTTCGTGCTTCTGAGGTGGGGGGGTATTGATTGAAGCTGCGCTCCGAGTGGGACTGGCTTCCTCGTTTCTTGGCAGCGCAGAAGTGATGGCTGTAGTGGGTGCCGTTGTCACTACAGTCGAGTGAGTGCCACCGCGAGGTTCACGCTGCGTCTCGGACTGGCTCCGAGTCTCAAATACAGCAGAAGACTGCAATATGGACGGGGTTGCAGTGGAAGGTACCGTCGCGGCGACGGGAGCTGGTGACATGTGGGTACGAGCAGGGCTCGCAATGGCTTGGCTTGTCTGTCGAGGCGTAACGGGAAACTCGTCTGCAGGCGATGTATCGCGCCTCGCCGCTTCTACCAGCAAGTAAGAGGCGGAAGGGCCCGATCCCAGCGGTGTTGCTAAGAAATCGCCTGTAGAAGGGGTGCGAATGGCGGGCAAGGGAGCGCTCAGGAAGGCATGTATGCGCGCATCGCTGCCTCGACACTGACCTTCGGACATCACGACACTAGCGCAGCATGTACTGTTAGGCGCTTTTTCAGTTCTCAAAGCGTCGAAAGGGTGGAAAGAGCTGGATGGCGGATCAAAGTTGCCGGATACCGCGTGGAGACGGAGGCTGAGGTTGCAGGAGCGCGCCAATTCGATGGATGCGATGGAGGCCAGACCAAGATATCGAAGTGTCAGGGTAGCAGCAGGAGAGATTGGATGGCAAGCGTCGATGCTCGGATTTGAGAGGAGGGAGCTTGTGTTCAGAAGCGACAGCTCAGCCGGAAATTGAGTCCGAGGATTTACGAGTCGTGAGCGTGAGTGTTGGACGAAGAAGACCACGCGCATGCATTGCGCGGCAAGCGACACGCGCGTGTTAATTGACGCGTGTGCTCTCGCCCTCGCACGCCTGCTGCTGCCATGAGCGATTCGCGCGCGCTGCTGCGCAAAGGTATGCCCGCGGGTAGGGTACGTGTAGGCGATGCAGCATGCTGCAGCTGGCGCATCAGCTGTCGAAGGCTCATCGTCCCCACGTCTGCCGAGGACCTCGACCCAACACTACTCAGTGCTGACTGTACTCTTCTGTGAGTCAAGTGAATGTCAAGAATCACATTCACAAATGAGGCGAAGGCTGCAACCCTTGACGAGACCAGCCCGGTGTCTTAAGGGCAGCCGGGTTGTAAGCGAAAGCGAAGGACTCGGCTGGATATATCAAGCATTACAGCCTTGAGATGAGTCGATCAATCGTTGAATCAGATCGCATTAAAGTCAACGTCTGAGTCAGGAGTCACGAGTCATTGGGCGTCCCAAAAGCGCTTTAGCACCGTGCACCGGCTGGGACGTAGGAAGGCGCGTGGGTTGCCATGCCTGCAGCAGGGAGTCCTTGCATGCGCGTGGGCCAGCATGCATCAGCAGCATATGATGCGTCCGATGCGGTGTGGCTCGCGCGCGGGATTCTTTGCTCGTTCCAAAATCAAAATGAAATCTTGGACCACATTCCTAAATGACAATTATCAGCGATATCTCAACTTTTCCCCGTCATCATTTTAAAGAAGCTTGAAGTTCTTTCTTCAGGTCGATCCACATTTCAGGACGCTCAAATAGTCATGCACACGCGCATAACTCTGATCCGCTCTTGACACCTCGACCCGAGAGGAGCAGCAGCAGCTTGTTGCATGCCTACATGCCCACAACCACAAGCTTCGATCACGCTCATCACTTCCAAAGAGATCGTCCACTGGACCAGTCGGCACCGCAACTCCACGTCCCTCTACCCGCGGCTGTGACCCTGACGGAGCTGCCACGCGCACGTGCCCGCCTTGACTCCAAGTAGACCCCTCGGGGACCTCTCTCCGCTACACCTCGAGGGTGCTTAAGCTACCGAGGACTCCATCACAACTCTAGCTTATCTTCAACCTTGGAGGAGGGACGAAGTCACCTGCCAGGATCCAGTTCGAGCAACGACCTCTTGCTGAGCACGCGCGTCGTTTGCGGCCGCAAGGATTTGCGCAGACGGAACGGAGCGCACAGCTTCACAGCGGCAGCGAAGCAAACATCACAATTGATCGAGCGCCCTCGCATCGCAGCACGGAGGGGAACATCTTTCACCGGAAGCTTGATTCAGGTGTCTAGAGCTCCGTGGCGCCTCAATCCAGTCTTTTGTATCACCCGAACGTGATCAAGCCGAAAAGCGTTAACATCAGCAGCAGCAGCCGTTGATTACTGTGGGCTCATGCGTCCACCGCGTTGGTCAAGCTTTTGACCAGACACGACACCAGTTCAGCATCACAGCTGTTAGAATTGCTAGGATAGGTACCGCTCGCTGCACTACCGGTCGCACGGCAGCTTGCTTGAGTGTCAGCGCGCTTGTGAACGACACGTGCAAGTGCGAGGGGACAATACTCAGCCCTGCCCAGTGCGCACCAAGGTATCAACATCTTCGCGACAAGGCTATCGAACCTCCGTTTTCATCGATACTGCGTCAACTGCTTGCCGCATACACACATACATTATGTCGGCTGTAGAGTATCAATCAGATGGAGGAGAAAGCAGCTCAAGCTTTGGTCAATCGAGCGCACAAGGGGAGGGCAAAGAGCCAGAGAGGAATAGGTGAGTTGCCGAGCATTTGCTCTGGGAGCAAGTGCAGACCATTCAGCAATCGAAAAAAGGGTTCCAGGTATCGCGGCAGCAGCTCAAGCGTTTGGCTATCTGGTGCAAGGGCCCAACTCCATTTTGCCATCGAATGCCTTGTGGCTGGCTCACAGAAGCAGCGGAGGACCTGCGCTGCTACTCACAGAGGCATGGGTGCCGCAGGACGCAGCCGCAGCCACTGCTCCTCGAGTCGCACATGGCCAGCCGGCAAGCTGTCCATCAGTCGTCTTGACTTTGCAGCTATGCGCTGAGTTCGCTTTATCTGTGTCAAGAGCTATGCCCGGCGAGCAAGCCAGATGCTTCCACCATGTCTCTGCGGCTCAGCTGACTCTCTTTTTGTGGAAATTCACAATTTCCTACCCTCAGCGTCATCATCAAAGTCGGAATGGTGGGCGACTCGCAGATTGGCAAGACGAGCTTGATGGTCCGCTATGTGGAAGGCAGTTTCAACGAAGATTACATTCAGACATTGGGTGAGTCGCAAAGGCGGCGCGGAAAGTCGGCTTGGCGGCAGACCTCGTATGCTAACGACTTTGCTTCCTCATAATGGGTGCTGGACGATTTGATCGTCAGGCGTGAACTTTATGGAGAAGACGATCAGCATACGGAACACAGAAATCACCTTCAGTATCTGGGATCTGGGCGGTAAGTGCGGAGACCGGCTCCGAGCGCTGAAGTCACAGGTCACAACGCAGCAAATTGACTCTCCGCGATTCTGATTTGCTGTACAGGCCAGCGAGAGTTTGTCAACATGCTGCCGCTCGTTTGCAACGATGCGGTAGCCATCCTGTTCATGTTTGACTTGTCGCGCAAATCCACACTGAACTCGGTCAAAGAGTGGTACAGGCAGGCGAGAGGTTTCAACAAGACAGCCATACCTTTCTTGGTAGGCACAAAGTACGATGCGTTTGCTGCTTTCCCCAAGGAGGAACAGGAGGAGATTACTAGACAGGTGAGGGCGACCTTGTTGAGGTCAATTTCGCATTCAGACGGGTTCGTGACGCTGAGTCAAATCCCTGCTCTGTGCTGCGCGGCTCCAACAGGCTAGAAGATTTGCGAGGGCTATGAAAGCACCCCTCATCTTCTCCTCGACATCACATAGCATCAACGTCCAGAAGATCTTCAAGGTAAGCTCTAGCAGCACTTGTGGCTTTGCGCTTTCTGGTCCGAAAGTCTGGCTAATGAATACCCGACGCGTTTCCGACATTTTGTGGACAGATCATCCTCTCCAAGGTGAGCGTCAGATCGCTCTGCATCATCGTGAGCGCAGTGCGTCGCTGTGACTGCCAGCTCACCGACCTTTGTCCTCGCGCGCGCAGGCCTTCGATCTGAAATGCACAATCCCAGAAATCAAGGGTGTGGGAGAGCCACTGTTGATATATGTGAGTAAATGTCAGTGCACGAGCTTTGATCTCGACAGTTGTTTTTGTATTCCCCCGTAACGCTCCGCCGTCCATCTTTGCTGACCTAGCCAATGCACCGTCCCCCTCTCCTCGTGCAGGTGGATGTTTAGATCAGCAATCACGTCCGCAACAGTGTCGTAGGGCTGTACTGTCACGCGGGCACGCTGCAAGACTCGATGCGCTTCGATGCGATCCAGTCCGCCCTTGTCTCGCATAACCAGGTGCTCTCCTCATCTCGCCATGCCGCCTTGGATCGAGATCTGGCTTTCAAGGAGGGCCTGGCGGCCCGACTCGCTACCAAGAGCAGCAAGATCAATTCTGAGATTTCGTATCTGTAAAGCTGCCCCGCGCGAGGATCCACCCTGTGCTTCGGCAGCTCGCAATCTTAGCGCACCAGCTTCTTCTATCTTTCTTGGTCCACACCCTCCCAGCACCTCTCAGATTGGCTTTCTTACGCTCCCTAGCACATTCTCGCGTTCCGCCTCCCTTGCCCATTGACTCGGCCTGCGCTGTGTTTCAAGAACGACCCGAGAACCGAAGCCGATCGCTCAAGACACTCATTACTTTCTATACCGCTCTCGAACCCCACAATGCAACGCTGCGTGAATCGCTGTACTTCCACCTTTGTGCACGATGTGCACTCTGTCATGAGGCAGAGCAACAGAGACGAAGACTTGATAAAGCTAGCCAGGTGGTCATTGGGCCTCATTGGCCTTCGATGCGATGGTGAAAGAGGACGAAATAAATAATGCATGACATTTTTAGCGCCTTCACTCGTCCCCGACAACCCAGTGATTGGGCTCGTTCGGCAGCTCGCGAGAAAGCGGCAACTCGTTTCCTCTGACGCTCGCATAATTGCGCGTGCTCCTACCAGATCGCTCATCCACAAATCGACTGACCCTAACACTCAAGGGTTTGAATACGCGTCTAGTCCACGCGTACAGGTCCGAAAGAGCCAATTCCAGATCGCCTCCAAAGATGGAATCTTCCGCACCAGCGCCTCCAGGATTCGGCGAGGAAGCAGAAGAAGAAGACGCGCCTCGACGCGCTTCATGCTCTTGTGCTGCCACATGCTTGAGGACATCTTTGACCGTCACTAGGCCGACCAATCGTCCCAGACGTGTGACCAGAACGACGCGCGGGCCCATCTTCTTGAAGAGGTCCATGACCACTTCAAGTGGCATCGAGGGCTGCACGCACAGCGGTGTCTGGGGTGCAGTCGGTGGTACAGTCAGCCTACGCGAAAAGGCATGCCTTGGTCAGTGAGAAAAGGCAAACACTAACCTGCTCCATCCAGCCGCCAAGCTCGAGCGTATCATGATCCATGGACTCGTCCACTTCATCAAGCTCATCGTCATCTTCGCCATGTGCGCCTAGCAGGGATCTCTCCGCGCCTTCCAACAGCTCTTCACGAGCCTGCTCCTCGGCATGTATGCCCTCGAATCGATCCAAAAGCGGAGTGGGCAGGTGCTGCTGATCGACAGCAGTGTCCTTCGCGTCTAGGAGATCCGCGTCGCTCGTAAAGTTGCACTTGGTGTCGTCGGACAGGTTGGGCCGAGTGCGTCTCGCTTTAGCAATCGCGTACCTCATCTCCGTCTTGCCCGCATATCCTAGAAGCGTGGAATCGGTGGTCGAGCGAACGACTGGTAGACCCTTGTACGCGCCCTCGGCCAGACGCGCCTCTACATCAGAGAGTTGCATCTCATTGCCGTTCAAACAGGCCGGAGAGCGCGTCATGATGTCACCTACGGGCAGCCCAAAGACGTGATCATCCTTGTCCAGGAAAGGATATCCTTGAAACTTGATTGTCTGCTCCGAAATCCCCCCTTTGCCGTACAAATCTCCCACTCCTTTGGTGATCATCACTACCAACATGGTTGGCAAGATGTAAGTGAGAGCGCCAGTGAGCTCGAACATGATGACCACTACCGCCACAGTGATTCGAGTGACACCAGCAAGGGCAGCCGCAGCTCCCAGGAAAGCGTACGTTCCAGGCGTTATGCACGGGACATCCGGCTCGCAAGCGCTGAATAACGCCGCGTTTGGGAAAGCCGTGTAGAGCGCCTTGACCAAGATGCCAATCATTCTTCCAAAAGTGGCACCGATAGCCATGGAAGGCACAAAGATGCCGGCTGGGACCTTGCAGCCGTAGGACAAAATGACCAAGCCAAGTCTCAAAAAAGTAGCGATGAGCAAAGAGTTGACCATCCTCCATTGCGCAGAGCCTTGGCAGAGACCATCGTAGTCTCCTCCCCCTTCGCATTCTCTGAAAAGAATTTCCAAGCTTTCGCTCATGTCAATGCGCAAAAATTTGTTCCAGTAGCCCACGAAGGCTGTCAGCGTCGCTAGCACGACGGCTTCGGCGACACCATGTGCCGCAAGATTGGTTCGTCGGAATTGCTGGACTTGAAGGTTGTACTTGATGACCACGGCGCCGTACAATCCCCCGAAAATACCAATGAGAGAGAAGAAGAGAATCTCAAAGTAGTGCCAATCTCGATCGTATGAGACTTGGAAAAGAACCAGCTTGCCAGTCCGGAACGGGTTCATGAAAGAGAGCGCGACAGTAGCAGCCAGAGCGCAGAGGAACGATCTCCACATTGTCGACGCCGGAAAGTTGTGTGCCATTTCCTGGGCGAGCCAGAGAGGTATTTGCGGAAGCCCAGTCAGCCATGGATGGCTTACGACTCAACTGGCCTGCATTCACCACTTTACACTCACCTCGAGACTGAAGAGTACTCCACCAATAGGCGAGCCGAAAGCGACGGCGACACCAGCAGCGCTAGCGGCGGTAAGCAATTCACGCATTCTCGCCTGGCTGCGATCAAAAGACCGGACAAACTGAGCGACGATGTTGCCGATGCAGCAAGCCACATGGACAGCAGGCCCTTCTTTGCCCACGCTCAGACCTGATGCTATGGCGAGAGGCTGGAGAGGTGACGAGCTCGAGCGCTTAGCCAACCATGTTCTATATCTGATGCTACGAGCATTGAAGCGATGCGGCTTACCAATGTCAGACTCTTGATCAAGAAAGTCCAAAAGCCAAGGAAACCATTGATGATGAAGCCTGCCAAGATGCATTTGATCTCCGCGATGCCTGGTCCAGCAGCATAAGGGGCAAAGGAGCGTACCAGATGTGCACAAAGCGCCGAGAGACCTGCCTATTGGGGCCAAATGACGATCACAGCAAACCGGCTCAGTATATGCTCACATCTTGCGTTGCTCTGCTCCGAACACTCACAGCAAACAGCACGTAGATGATCCATGCCGGCAAAGTCCAAGTGCTCCAAGGAATCCAATCTGTGCAAGTTTCGCTCAAGTCTCCTCCATCCGGATTTGCAGCTCTTCTCTCCAACTCTCCAAGTCCAGCATTCGCTACCAGTCCGACGGCTCTTCCAGCATGCTCTGCCATCCTCGCTAAGGCCGCATGCGCTGCACTAGAGCTAGGTGAGGACGTCGCAGCGGCGGTAGCAGCAGTTTTGACAGCTGGAGGGGGGATTGCCGATCCGCCAGGTCCAGCCGGATCCATCATCTCCCAGCAACAGAACTTCTGATTGAGCCACCAGCCAGACCTGCAGTAACCTTGTTTGATGTCCGACGCCCACTCTGTAGCTATGCTAATGACCGCCATGTTGACGCCAATCAAGACGCCTGTCGCGAGAAAGATGGTCAATTGGTCAGATTGCCCTGGGAGCGTTTTGCTAGCATCATCTTCAAGTGCAAAGGGAGCTCTCACGGCGCACTCACCGACGCCGACGACTACCGCGCTCTCTGTGGCTCCTCTAGCAGCTTGTTTGCTGAGCAGCCAACACTTCCAAGCGATCCTCCCCCACGGCCCTTCGGGCCACCACGTGGGTATCCTCCCGCCAGCGAACCCGCCATTGCCTCTGAAGCGATTCTGAGGTCCCCAAGCTGTACTTCCTCCGCTCTGTAGTCCGTGAAGGTCGGACTGCAGTTTGGCCTCCGCAAGCCTCTGGCGCGCTAGACGCGCTCGCTCTCTTCGAGAATCAGCGATCCAATCTACCGTTGAAAACTGCGAGAGAGAATATTGGCAAGCCAGCGCGCTTAGAGATGGATGTATGCATACGAAGCGTGGAATCGGCTTTTACTCACAGACTCGTAACGTCTGATCTCATCAAGGGCATCATCGTCTACATCGCTCCTTCCGCCCCCTGATATGCCCGTCCTGACTGCAGATGAGCTGGCAGCAGCAGCGTTTGGACTCAGAGCTGATGAGCTTCCGACTCCACCACCACCCGTCACTGTTCGCCAAGCCCTCTCCTCCTCCGCAATGCTATGGGAGGCGCTATTTCTGCTTGAATCGAGATCCCTTTGCGGCATCGATGGAGCAGCAGGCGACATGATCCAGTGACTCTCTCGCTCTCGGGGCGATGGTTGCCTTTGCCGGGGTGTGCGCAACTGTGATCCTTAACGATTGAACACTACTCGCGGGGCGGATCACATCGATCATCTGACTGTTTGCGATGACGAGGGGTGCAACGAATCCTTGTTTGGCCGCCTCAGGCTGAATCCGGATCTCGGCGGTCCGGGGTGTGGCTTGCTGACCGATGTAATTCTGGTTGGTGGTGGTGCGTGCGTGCGTCGCGGCCGCCTTTTAGAGTCTGGAAGGGCTAAGCTGTGGTTCTACAACAAAGCTAGGGCGCGGGAGGCGTACGACGAGGAATACCTCGAAGTCGGGTCACTAATGCCCTAGAGAGTCGAGGTCGGCCTGTGCGAGCTGCACGCCGGGGCGAAAGTCGTTGTAGGCTTCATGTGCGAACTTGACTTGGTCTTCTGCACGAAGTAACCGGTGCCGTGAGGCATTCATTCGTGATTTCACGCTTAGGGCGCAAGCGCGTGACTTGCATGGCGCTGCATGCGCGCGCTGATGGTAGCAGCATCTGCCCGTTGCGCCGCGCTGGCCGTGTCTACGCTTATCATCAGGAAGCCCTCGAGTTGGGTACATAGGCTGCCATTCATACAGCAAGCATGCCACTCAGAACTCCCTTCGATCACTCATGCCGATGCCATTTGCAGCTGCAAGCACCATTCGCAAACGTCTTTCTTGATTGTGGCCCTTGTCCGAATTGAAGTCCGCATTGTCCGGGGCTGAGTCTGAGCACGAGCCCGAGTCCAAGTGTTTGATCTTTGTCGATGCATGGTTCAGTGCATGGCTCTCAGGCGAGAGCCGTGATCCAGGCTCGATACTACCAGCGAAACCACGCCGATCAAAGAACACGGCAAGAAGAGCGCTACGACGATCATAGCGATGGATCCGTCTTGCGTATGGGGACCCTGAGGAGAGCAGGGCGTATACTTGGTCCCTATCTGCGCGGGCTCGCCAGACCTCGCCAGGCATCCGAATATGGTGCTTCCCTGAAGGAAGCCGAAAGCGTTCCATCACTGAGCGAGTCACAAGCAGGGCCAAATCAGATCAATCGCACAAAGGTCACACCAAAGTAATTTTTTTGTCTCTAAGAGGTCTCTCGCCTCTCGACCTCCGGTCTCTATGATTGCTTAGATGTGTGTGGGCTACAAAGAAGCAATGTGGGGGGTTGTCGTTGAGAAGGGAGGCAAATACAGCAGGAGAAAGGAGGAAGAGTCGAGTGATGATCCTTCGCCTCTTGCTCCGATCATCCCACCGTTAAATACACACACCAACCACCCAGTGATTGTGTGAGCTGATCCAATTCGAACTGCTACAAGCATGTTCTACCATTCCAGATGGGCCAAAAAAGTGATTGGTTTGCGGTTGAGCAAGGAGTTGTGACTTCGCGATTGACTTTTCTCTTGAGCACGTCCATCCATTCGTCTGCACATTGTTCCTCTTCTCGTTCCTCGTGGTCGTTTCTCACTCTGTCCTTGCCAACGAGTCGGAGCTCGCTTACATGAGCAGGTCGAGGTCCGCGGCGTGGCGCCTGAGGTGCTCGACAGCGATGTCCTTGTGCTCGTCGGTGAGGTCACGGGCCGCGAAGCGGCGGGTCATAGCGCCAAGGTCGGCGATGGCCAGAGCGTCGCTGCGGCGCAGGTTGCAGTTACCAACGTTGCCTCCCTCGTTCTTCCAGTCGTTGTTGGAACCGCTGCCCATGCTGATCGTGGTGTCTCGGCGAGAGAAGTTGCCGAGGGTGAAGTCGCTGCGGCGGCAGTGGAAAGAACCAGAGGTGGTCTGCTTGGTCTGGGACTCGTTGGTCGTTTGGTCGTGGCTGTCGACCGACATTTGCTTGTCGTTACGAGCTTGGAGAACATCCAGAGTGCGGAGACCCTCCTCGAAGTCGCGGGCTGCGAGCTCCTTCTCGGAGCGCTCGAAGTGGGAGCAAGCGCCCACGGAGCGGGTCTGGTGGTCAAGACCACGAGCGCAAGCGACATCAGCGCTGCGGGGCGAGTTTTGAGCGTAAGCGGCAGCGACGAGAGCGGCGGCAAGGACAACGTTGCGGAACTGCATCTTGAAAAGTGAGTTGGGTTGTTTGAGAAGAAGGGTGCTTTGAAATGTGCGTGAAGAGCGTAAAGATATGCTACGAGGAGCGTGAAAAGCTTGCGAAGGTTGCTTGTAGAGAGTAGTGCTGGTTGTGTATGTAGTGCTTTGCAATCTTGAAGTCTGGCCAGCAGATGACTATTGATTTGCTTGTGAGATTGTCGAGATGTGCGAGAGAGTTAGAGAGCTGATTGGAACTTGTACGAGTCTGAGGAAAGAAGAGGGAAGGATAGCGAGGTCGAGGGGGCCCTTCTTATACCTTTCGGGGAGGGCCTGCAATCCGGCGCTTCGTATTGACGGGGTGCGCTGCCATAGCGCTGCGATAAGCGCGGGCTTGCCACTCCTCCAGTCCGGATTGCTGCATGTAGCTGGCCCCTGAGTCTGCTGCGATGCTGCGCCCCGGCGTCGTCATGCGAATGATTCTTCTGCACGCTGCTCTTCCCCGTGCCTCGCTCAGACTCATCAGTCAGGCGAGCGAAGGTGCTGGTGCATTCATGCGTGCACGCTGCATGACTTGTTGGCGTTGCCATCCATCCAGAGTCCGCACAACCGTGAAGATCCCAAGAGTGAACTTCAACAGGCGCGTCCGCCCAGGAATTCGATTGATTGATTCGATTCAACCAAGCAATCGCGTGCATGCAGAATGGCGTTTTTGGTGCGCGCTTTCGACGCCGACTGCATGCA